AAATTGAAAATGCACGTGTTTTTTTTTCGCTTTTCAATATTTTTCCCGTCTGTATTAATGAGTCTATCCGTCCAAGAAGGAAGTGACATTTTCATAAAACAAAACGTAAAGTGGCTATAAATGAAGTGATATCCTTATGAATAAAAGAGAAGCCGACTGTTGTGCAAGGAGCTAGTAGTCCTTTAAACCCCTGACCAGACAAAGGGTCCCCTTTGATACTACTTTCTTACTATTTTTTTAAACCCTGTGGTACTATTTTTTGCCTTTTGGTACTACTTTTTTTTGGCTGACCTATCTTAAAAAATTTTAGAGGGACCTTGGATCTTTTCTTCTTTCACCCACCTTTCTATTTCAGTTTTGAAACATTACTTAAACGTAGTCATAATCCAATGAAATTTGGCTTGGTGAACAAATCAACAATTGTTAACATATTTGTCCTTCATACCTTAACTGTCTTTTCTTCTACCTTGCTTTTGAAGGACTGTTGTTACGTTGTCATAAAGTAATGAAACTTTGCATGCTGAACAACTTAACTTTTGTGAACTCCTGTGTCATTGATACTTTTAATCGTAACATCACGCATTCAGCCTTAACAACACGTAAGACAACTAAGCAGATGGAAAAGTTAAATTGTAGGGTAGGGCAGAAAAAAAAACTTTTTTTTGGCATGGTTTTTTCAATAATATGTCTGCGGCGCAGTAAATTTTTGTCTAAATAAAGTTTTTATAGTGTTCAACGTAAAATTAAAAAGTCGTCGAAGGTTTTGATAAATTTTTAAAACCCTCCATTTAAGTAAATTTTAGATTCACTTTTGCAACTAGCATATAATTTTCTGTCCAGTGATCCAATAAAAAACTAGTTGAGAAAAAAACGTTGATTATAAAAAATACCATTTTTTTCAAACCCACTTTTATTTTCAATTTGTAAACATGGTTTTCATAAAGTAATGAATAGTTGCAGAAAACTTAAAAACTAATAATTTACAACACTTTTTTGGCTTTTGGCTTTTCATACTTCAAGTCTTCATATCATGCATTTTGCACTAAAACCATAAAAATTAACAATTAAAACTTGATTTGTCAACAGGGCTAAGGAATAAGCCATGTATAAATTTTTCTACTTTCTTTGGGTAGAAGAAGTAAATTATTTTGAAAAGAAAAGCTTCCCAAATGAGTAATTTTAGCTTTTATGTTTTAAAACAACTATAAAATTAGTTTGGTTGAGACTCTTTCTATCCAGTCAAGCAATAAATTATCCTGAAAAAAAGAAAGTTTCAGGCCAGTATTTCTCAACCTTGGGAAAATGTTTTGAAATAAAGTATTGAATTCTAAATGAAAAGCAAATTAAATTTGATAAAATAACGTATTCGGTACCTACAAGTGATGCTTGAGATAATATTTTTCCCCGTTAAAAACAACGTAGCTTCTAATTCTTTACCCCTTTTTGAGGTTAAATCAGAACCAAAAAAAAACTTATTCATAAAAACGTAAGCGACAATATTGCATTGAATGAGATCGGGAAACGCTTAGCGACAAAGAATACAAATGCATTGTAATGGTGAGGATGAGAAATGTTTATATAAATTTTACTCATAGCACGCAAATGATTGTTCCGACTTTCGTAACGAAAGTAACGGAATATTTGTGCTCGGGTTTTTTTTCTTCAGACAAATTTCGACTTTTTAACTAGCAATTTTTGACGGATTTTTTAAATTACCATTCAAAAATTTTTGTTGTCCTGAGCTTTTATTTAACAAAAAAGTTCACCTGTGATCTTCTTTCGTAAAATTATGGGGGTTTAAAAACTGCCATTTTGGCCAATTTGGGTCAATTAACGAGCGATATATTACGCGCTATTAACGCGTAAGCAAAGATTATATCTGTCTTAGAAATCGTTTCAAATTTGTTAAGGAGGCTTATTTGCCTTAGTAGATTTGTTCAATAGGAGCGAAATCTATCACTTTGTGTTTATATGGCTTGTGGGGAATGATTTTTGCAAAAAAAAATTCAAAATTAAAAAACAAAATCAATTTTTTTTTACAATTAAGTTTTTCATGTTATTACTGCTTCATAGTTCTTAAGAGGCAGTCGGGCCATTCAAGGCTTCGTTCTGACCTGGGTAGTCCTGTTTCTATTTGAATTAGATTGATTAAATAGGCTCCCATGAATCAGCAGACAATGGTGGATAGTAGAAAACTTCGATGCAGATAAAGAGCAAGCATAAATAAACAAGGCTTTCAGTTTCAATAATAACAATTTTCACATCTATCTTATGTATAAAAGCAACCAACAAAAAACTATCTGCTGCCTTTTTCCCAAAAACTTGAGTAATGTTTGATAGATGTTGCATCATGTTTCGCATGAGGAAAAAATTGAAATAGTTATTTTTCGTTGTGTAAGGAAAATGGAAACTTGTTTAATTGCTTAACTTTGAAAAACGTCAGAACTGCAAAAAAACATTGACTGAAAAAAATTGTTAATTGTTATCAATTGATTGTTATCAATCGTTAATTGTTATCAATTATTTTGTTTCATAAATTCTTTGTCAACGATTGTTATTTCAGCCCTTAAAAAAATCAACAGTTTCTTAATTAAAACAATTTTCTGGCCTGATGTTAAGTTGTATATCAATGTAAAAATCAGATTGTTTTGATTGCTCTTTAAGCTATATAAATGACATAATTACAATAAGAAAATGGTGATAATGTTTAAAAAAGTTGTATATGAGTTGACTAATCTCGTCAGCTGCGTGTTCATATGTTATCGATAAACAATATCTTATCAAGACTGCTCGTATCAAGGCACAGCCCTGAATGTTCCTACTGCCTTTTAAAGTCTATTGGTCTGTTGGCTTTGAAGAAGTTTTCAAATAATTAAAAAATGAAAAAACGATTATTATTTTTTAAAATCATCCCCCTACTTGCCATAAAAAGCAAAAAATGATAAATTTTGCACCTGGTAGCATATCAATTATGAAAACTAGCCTGCTTCAACCAATTTAGAACGATTTTTGAGACAGATTAAATCTCCGCTTACGCGTTAATTGTTCTAAATTGGCCAAAACGACAATTTTGAACCACCATGACTTTGCAAAAACTGATCACAGGTAAAAAATCTTTTTGAAATTGTGCTTAGGACAATAATACATTCCATATGAGAAATGAAAACTTTGTCAAAAATGGTCAGTTAAAAAGTCAAAACTTGTCTGGAGGAAAAAACCTTATCGAGCACCAGTATTCCGTCACTTTCTTGCAACTAAAGTCGAAAAAATAAAATAGTTTCAGGTTCTTTAAAAAAACGTTTGGGCAAAAAAATCTTTCCGATGAACAAAAAGTATGAAAAATGAACGGTGTCTGAAAAATAAACCGATTTTGTATATTTCATTGCGTATTCCGATACTTTTTACCATTTGGAAACATTCTGAAAAATTTTATTGTTTCTCGTAGAAGAAGCGCTTAGAAAGATACAATTTTACCAAAAAGGAGAGCCGGTTGCATAGAAATGTAAGAAAGCAGTGATTGAATTAAAGAAAATTTTCATTTAATTTTTTTTTGCGGAAAGAAGCAATTGATTTAGTTCAAGACAACAGACAACAAAAATTATCTGAGTTTATGAGTAAATTGCAGGTTAATTATTTCGAATTTGTTTTTTATTGACTTTTATCGTTTGAGCTGAAAAATTCGGGTGAATCAATTTCCTATCTTTCTCAACAAATTGCCATTTTTTTGGTGTTTAAAATTTTAAAATCACACCCAAATATGCCATATTATGAAACAACACTTCTTGTAGTGAGTTTTCTATGAGATAACAAAAATTGGGCAGAAAAAAACTAAAGAAGCCATAATTCCCTACCATCACTGAAGTGATTGGTCTTAAAAAAAATTGAACCATTAGCCAATATATAAATTTAAAAACTTAAAACCACACTAAAAAGTTTCAAACAATTTTTGCCCGTGTCGAGAAAAACTGGTTTGACGTTTTTGAATTTTCGTCTTATTTCGAGCGAATAAAGCGAGCGAGTAGTCTTATTTTAATAGAGTAGCTTATATGGGCCTATTTTAAAACAAAAAACTTAATTTACTTGAGTAAAGTTAGTGTGCTTTGAGTTTTTTAAGGGCCTTTTTGGAATCAAAGTTTTCAAAAATTCAAAAAACTGCGAAATTTTTTTTTTTCATTTTTCAAAAGTTTTTTCTTAAAAAAACTGTTTTTTTATTTTGCTTATTTTACTATGACTGTCGAATATGCCTAATCTCCAGTTTATTGTTCAGCTCTTTTTATCACACCACGACGAAAAAAAAACGACAATAATTTTTTCAAGTCTATTTTTTAAGACTATAGTCGGAACATTTTGTGCGACTTACACAGTAACCGGCTATCCTTGTTTTATTTTGTAGATAATTTCATAAAACTAGAAGAGAGGAATTAAATCATCCAGGGTTTTGCCGAGAAACAAACAGTTTTGGGGAAGCTGATAAAAACTTGAAGTTTGAGAGCTTATAAGGGCAGTGAAAATGAATGCAGAGACCAAATACCAAAAATAGTTTTCCTTGACACTGGGATTTCTCCTGTAAATGATTCAAGACTGAAAAAGTTTCAATGCGATATAACAATCGACACTTTCTGGCCTTTTTTATTACTAATTGTGTAAAGAAAATTGAGCCCAAAATTCTTCCCTTTTAGGTGGTTTGAGCAATCATTGCAGTTTTCAATACTGATACTTTTTTTTCTCAGTATTGAAAATGCTTGCGCGCACAGGTCTTATGTTGTACCTCTGATTAAAAAGCAAAGCCACACACAGACAGAAAAGGATAGGATCTTAATGACTACTGCCCCCTTTGGTTCCTTAAATTTGGATAATTCAACGGTTAAGCATATACTAATTCAATGGTTAAGAACTTTGTACCTTGTAAACAATTATCCCTCCTTTTGCAATGGGGGGAGGGGTTCAAAAGTTAACTGTCTTGAAACAGTAACTTGGTTGATACTTCAAACTGGTCCTACCTGCTGTGCTTGTATGCTCGCGGTAGTTGCTGTCGTCTTGCTTCCAATCCGGATGTGATTCTTGTCGTGTGTCTCCGACTGAGTGCCTCGCCTCACTCCTCCCTTGCTCGGAATGGTCGGACTCGGCGACAATGGACTCGTTTTCAGAATGTCCGCAGACATCTGTGACTCATTTTGGGTCATATTTGAAGGTTAAAAGGTTAAACTACGGTTTAACTAAGACTAAAAAATAGGTTCAATTCAAATAGGATGGAACAATTCTGAAACCCGTTTTAATCATGGGCTTGAAATGATTTTTTCTTTTATAGTCTTTTAATTTTCATGGTAACATTTTAAGTGTTCAAAACTAAACGCAGCACGTTTCTACCACCATAACACGCACAAAATAATTACAAGTTACTCGATTATGCAATGACGTTTTAGTTGAGATTCGGACCACGTTTGGCTAAAGACTTAACTTGAGTTGAAAAACAATAAAACTCAGTTTTTGCATTCTTAAACAAAAATTTTCTTCAAGTATTATTGCTCGATGATCATGCATCTGTGGATTTTACACATTAAAAGAAACAGTTATGATAGTTAAATTTTAAGACTAATTTTTGATGCCTGAGAAAACAAAAAACCATCTGGTTAGGTTTCATTCATTCGAAAAAAAAGAAGACGGGATTATCCAGTTGATGAAAACTCCTAAGCCGACTGCTGTAACGCATTAAAAAAAATGACGACCAAGGTTTCTAAGCCTCGCTCTGATAATCCAAAATGAACGTTTGGAAGAGAGTAAAACTTCTACTCCCCGTTACCACTCCCTTTTCCGCTGCTCTTCTGTTTTTGACGCCATCTATTGGGTTCTCGTTTGGAGATAACATGTTGTTCTATATAAATCAATGGTTTCTGCCAATGGTAGTATAACAAATGTTTCCAATGCTTTCAAATCTAGTGTAACAAATTGGTTTCAAACTTTTTCGCGAAATTAAAAAATGTATTTTCCAATAAAACCTAATTAAAAACGGAGTGCCTCCGGAATACTCTGAGGATGTTGTAAGTGATAGGTTTGACAATTATTTGCGTGTTTTTCATCATCATTTGTCCTCCCGAGTTCTCTTTTCAAAGTCCAGAATGGCCTGTAATTTTGGGGTCAAATAATTCTGAAGATATATGAATTGGCTAAAAATTATAGAATGGACGAATATGCATCATAATTATCGATGGGTACAGAAACAATTCTCGAAAACTAACAGCTCGAAGAGTGCTTTCACCAGGGCGACGCCCTGAATGTTACAACTACTCTTTAAAATCTATGCAATTTTTTTCAATTCAAAAAAAATTTCTCAAAAAAATTTTTTCCTCTGAGATTCTTTGCACGTCGCCCCCCACGCGCATATAAAGTACCCAGCTATAAGTTTTGCTAAAATTACGTTTGAAGCTAATAGCTTGCCTCATTTTAGCTTAGAGCAATTTTTGAGCCGGGTTATTTCGATCACATGCGTTATAGAACGAAATATTGACCAAAAGATCTATTTTCAAACCCCGATAATAACACAACAAAAAACTCATGTTTTCTTAGTTTTCAGCGTATGACACCATTATTTTTCAGATGGTGGAGAAAATTCTCCAAAAATGCCGAAAGAGGTTCGAAAATTGAAAGATAGATATTTGGTTGGCGTGACATTCAAAACCATGTTGCCCTGCTCTCCCAATGAGGCCATCAAACATGGAGACAGCCAAAGCTGACGCCATCGCTGCCCACTATGCTAGGATCAGCAAGCTCGAATTCAGCAAAAACGAGAGGAAACGGAACCCAGAAGCAAAATGTAGGTTGAATACATTCAATGCCGACGACTGCACGACAGCGTACTTTACCATCAGTGAACTCAGCCAAGCTATGAAGGGAACCAGGACGAAAAGTGCCGCTGGATCTGATGACTTTCGTCCGTCGTTCTTGAAAGAGCTCGGGCCGAGTGCGTGTGAGGAATTTTTGGCGATCTTCAACTAACCCTTTAAAAAGGCTGAAGTCCCCCAAATAGGGCGTAACGCCACCATCATACCGTTATTAAAGTGGGAAGACAAGCGCGCGGGTTGCTCTCTCATACTCAGGCAAGCTTCGGAAAGAACAGAAGCTGCAAAAACCAACTGTTGCAAATCCCTTAAGATATCATTGTAGGCTTCCGAGCGTGCAAATGGAACAAATGGTCAAGTTCATATAAGACTTACCAGGGACCTGACTGTCATATAAGACCTGATAAAGGAACTCGTATTCATTTTGGGGGCCCGCGACAACCCATCAGATGTATCCATGCTTTCCTTGAAAACAGACATTTTTCAATATTCTATTCATTAAATTCAAGAGTAGATTCATATAGCTGATTCATGGTGTCTCTTAAGGTGCTGTTTCCTCCCCTTTGCTATTCATGTTCTTCATCAACACAATCGATGATGAGTTTCTACAAGATTTGAAGATTTCTTCGCTGACGACCTCAAAACATGGGCCTGAAACAACGGCATGGAAGCTGCTTAGAGGAGCATCCAGCAGGCAGTCCTCAAGGTAAAAAAAGGTGTGCGTTAAAAACAAGTTGATACATCAAAACCATAGCGTAGCTAGCCCCTGTGACGGTAAATGGATAACACAAGTTAACTAGAGCAAAATGTCACTCAAGTTTAATCCAGCCCGCAATTTGTTCGAGTTAGTCATGAACAGCATTTTCTCGTTTCAATCACACGTAGACACCGTAATCAAATAAGGTTCAGAAGAGAAGAAGTAAGCAGGCATGTCTCAGCACAACGAAAGGGGGATGGAAGAAAAAACCCCTCCGCAAGGTGTTCTTGGATACCCAGCGCAGCATACAATACTACGCTGCCCCAGCTTGGCAACCCTGGCACACAACCAGAAGGTTAGAACGCGCGCAGAACCAGGCTCTCCATCGCATCTCAGACCAGACAGCATCAACCCTTGGAAGCCCTTCACCTTGAATCTGGGGTTCAGATTTACAAGACTGCAACGAAGCGGCTGCTTGCAGAATGAAGAGAGAAAGCATATAGATCTATCGCCCCTCAGCACTCTAGGAGTTTGGCACTAGAAGGCAAAACACGTCAGAGATTTTGCACAGACAGCTGGAGCGAAAAGAGCAAACGCTTAGAAACGCAACTCCCGGATGAACTCCAACTCTAATCTCTGCCATCAAATGTCCACCTTGACTTGATCAGAAACGGAAGGGGTCTGTCCAACCAGACCTAGATGGAGAGAGTAGGACTAACGACGCAACAGAGAAGGCCTTGGACATCATAAAAGGTGCGGTCAGAGTACTGCACACAGAAGTCTCTGCTGCAGAAAGCACAAAAATGGAGGTGCTGGAATGGTAGTCACCACTGGCGACCCACCGGAACCCGTAGTCATAAACTCTCGCCACATTAGAGGCAGAGCGACAATATCTTCATTCAAAGAAGGGAGAGCAGTGATGCACGCTGCATTTGACTGCACCAAAACAAATAAACTTGCTAGATAATCAAATACATAATATGCAACGACAACCAGTCACTTATGACCGCCGCGATTTGTAACGAAACTCACAAGACAGCGGTCATCTGCCGCCAGCTTGACAAACAAGGTCATACGATTATGGGTACCCCGGGAAACATGGATATCCCGGGGAACGAAATGGTCAACAGATAATACAACTACGACGCGTTAAGGAACCTCACGAGTCATCCAGCAGAAGAACCGAGCTGCTCGAGATGCCACGAAGAAACAGAAAAAAAAACTCAATTTTGTCTTGTAAGTCGTCCAGAAACAATGAAACTTCGACAAGAACTAATGCTGGCGAAGAAGAGTTTTTGAACCCACTTTACTACCACGTCTTTGAACCCACTTTGCTTGCCGCAATAACAACAACAACAACAACAACAACATTAACAGCAACAACAGCAACAACAACAACAACAACAACAACAACAACAACAACAACAACAACAACAAAAACAACAGCAACAACAACAACAACAACAACAACAACATAAACAACTACAATCACAATAATTTTGATACAGCAGCAGCAGCAACAATACAGCAACAAAAAACAGCAACAACAAAAACAGCAACAAAAAACAACAAAAACAACAAAAACAACAACAGTCACAACAAAAACATCAACAAAAGGAACAACAAAAGAGACAACAACAACAACAACAAACATAGCCAGCAGATAGACAAAAAACGAGTTGGTGAATGCAAGTAAACAAAAAAAACTACTGACTTTCGCAATACCAGGAAAAACTGGAGGGCCTTAAAGCTCTTCAATTTTTTATTTTCTAGAAATTTTTTTGATTGTCACTTTCTTGATGATAATAAGCCAGCCAATTTGAGAAAACTGGATGAACGGCGAAATTTTTTTGTTGCTGAGAAATCTGATAATTGAATTCCATTTTCGAAATAAGAATGTGGATCATGTTTTTTGTGACTTTACCTTTTTCTGTTCTATAGCGGAGTTTGCCTTTCAATTAACAAAATCAATTTCTCGCAGCCAACAGGAGCAAAAGTAACAGTTCAAAACAACAAAGTCAGGATAATTTCTTTCCGAAATTTTTTTTCAGACTTAAAAATTTTCATTAGTATTGAGTAGAGTGATATTTGAAGTACAGTTTTCAATTTAGACTAAAAAAAATCTTTCGTATGAAGTCGAAGCCTTGAGCTTTTTGACTGCTATTCAATGTCCATGAAACGTTTTTTTAGCTTAATTTTTGTATAAATTTTTTCCATACTTGTTTGAAAACTTACATGAAAAATTTTCAAGCTGCTACGTAAAATATATACACTTTTATGTTTGAAGTCTAGTATTTCCTTAATTGGGACAAAAGTAGCTTCACTTCGAGGTGGAATGGCTTATGAGTCGCACATAACTGCCACTTTAGTTTTTGTTTCAAAACTTTTTTTTGCGAAAATTATCCCGTTTGTTTGAAATTGGCAGTTTATACATCCCGAGAGCTTAAGATAAAATAGTCGCATTTAAAAACATATTATCTGATTATAGTTTGAGATCACAACATAGATAGTTTGAAGATGTTAATAAGACTCACGTCAATAGAGCTAGTCAAGAAGTAAACATTTGTTAGAAAAACATCCAAAATTCCATTACAGGCTTCATAAGTCAGAAAAAAGTAACTGATAGGTCTTGTAAAAACAACATCGAATATTTTTTCTGATATTGAATAAAAACCTGTTATAATCTCTCCAAAATTACTATCACACCATCACTCATCATTGGCAAATAGCGCGGCAAAAAATTCTTATCTAGACCCGCATATAGCCGCGTGCGCTACTCGGTAATTCAAATTTGCAAAATTTTAAAAAGAAAAATTATCCTGAGTTGACACTTTGACCAATTTTCAACTGGGATAATAACATTTGTTAGACTGAAAAAAAACTT